AAAATCTCAAAAAGGTGTTCGTGTCGATTGGTGCACGCAAATGCTCAAGAAGTTTCAAGATGAACCATCGCGCTCAAAGAACAACTATACCAATACAGAAACGTAAAACGTTCAATTGCGAATGGTGAAAAATCATTTGTTTACCGGAAGTCTACAGTGAAATACGCAAAATAAACCAGCACCATCGCATCATTCTCCATTAAGACAATGGGAATGTTCATATATCTCGTTTAACAACAAACTATTCGTATTTGAACATTCAAAAAATTGAATTAATGGGTCATCCGCACATCAGCGTACAATCCTAAATTGGCATCCAATGACTTCTTCTTGTTTTCAAACGTTAAGAGTACTCGTAAATTACGTGGACAAGGATTTTTGTCGGCAGAAGCAACAACGAAGCCGTTGTTGCATTTAAAAACCATTTAGAGAAGTCTGAAAAAGATTGGAATGAATGCTTTGACAAATGGTTAATCGTATTAATCGTAAAGAAGAATACTTCAAGAAACAATAAATCAATTTTCAACAAAACGTTAATATTTATTCATTATTAGGATCAAAAAATGAATGGTGACCACCGTACATATCTTTCGATGACATGTATTTTTTTTTTGATACAAAAATGCTTTGCTTTGATATTTGCCAAGAGTTCTGCGTATTTAGTTCTTGGCCCAGTATGTAAAAATTCCAAAAACTTTAAGACATATCTAATAGATACACTAAGAACTAAATTAAAGAGAATGATGTAGATGTTTGCCATGAATATATTTATTCTAAGACCGTTGTGAAAAACTGTTAATATCATCACGACTTATGCGAAAAAAATGGATTTCAATCAGAGATATTTCCAAAATATGTATGTTACGGATATAGTATTGCTAGTAAGATATAGTATTGGCTTATTTAAATTATATATGAACTAAATTAAATTTAAATAAAAGAACCACCTGAATATTATATCATTCGTTATATTAAACCACAACTGTAATAATAATATGTAATTTAATCCAGTTATTATGAATATTATTTTTTTAATTAATATCTATTAGATATGTTTAAAACTATAATTATTATAGCTAAAAAGGATTACAACATCAAAAATTATTTTAAAATCTTGTTAAGAAAATCACGCTAGTATGAATATTTTCCCATCATAACAAATGAGTTGTGGGCATTTTATATATCGCTGACATGCAAGTCAGTCCAAAAATTTTTGTGGGCGTTATTTATCTGTCGCTGATAACCATTTCAAAAATTAGCGCATACTTGCTTACACTTGTGCATACTTAAACAGATTCGATAATCTAAATGTAAAAAAATTTAAATATGAAAATATATTTATTGCCAAAAAACCTTAAAGCTGTAAAATGCCTAGTGGATTCCAATTCTGTGGAATGGTAATATCACATGCAAAATTATAGGCTACATATGATTTAAAAAGGAAATAATATTTATGCAATATATTGCCTTATGCAAACTTTTATATTACGCGATCTGCGAACAGAAAATAATTTTTTATTAATTCATATTAGTTCATAGTGGTGTGCAAATGGACTTTATCAACTTCTTATGAAAAATAGTTTTTGCACGAAAAATATTTTCCTAGGTACAAAACTTCAACAGCTTTCAAGCCATCAAAGTGCTGATCAATTACCACAAATAATAATTTGCATACGGCAAAAGTCAGATAACATTTCAAAGTGTTTTTCTCACAGCTTAAGATAGTTGCATACGGAAGCAGTTTCGGCTTCGAATTACTGCCGTAATCAATTTTGGTGGTAAAAACTTTAAATTTGAATTTCATGTCCCTTTTATCTGCGTTTATCTCAACCAGACGAGACAAAAAAGGTAAAAATTTAACAGCTGCCGTTCGCTGATTAACATTACAAAGACACCTTTTCGAAGTCACTTAAACTCTGGTAGCCGACCGGGTTAAACTGTAAATAAAAATATCTATGAAATTTTATCAGCACAAAATAATTGGAGTTTAAGAGTAAATTTAGTGATTAAGTATCTTGGAATACGATAAAAATACTTGTATGCAATATCATATACTCGCATGTATACAATAATAATTATATAGCATTAATTTAAATTATTTACATTACTAAAGAAAATCATAGATGCAATTGGTTGCACTGAACAATTTGTAGCCTTTTTGTTAATTGCCGCCTTGTAAAGGGGAAGATTGATCGTCATTGGAGATCTTAACGACACCTTCACGACATTGTTCCGTAAGTTAGTAAGACTATAATTATTTGATGTTAGATTTTGATTTAAACAAATTTCTGTGATTAAAAATTTAAATAACCATGATGCGAATTAAAGAGTATTTTTTATTAATTTTATTAAATAATTAGTGAATGAAATGGCTATTTTGATCATCCACAGCATAATTTTAAAATTTTCTCAACTAAAAGTTGTAAGATTTTTATGCCTTTTACTTTTAATGATTCAACACCAAAAAGTTACAAGACACAAGTTTTATGTGAAAAAACATAATCAAATAATAATATCTTTAAGAACATGAACACCAAACTAATAGGCTCAAGTTCTAAGCAGAGACCTTTGAAGAAATCCATTTCCCGCCCACACACAGCAACTCACCCTCTGCAAGAGTACTTCTCTGTAATTGTAAAACCTAACTAAACCCGATATACAATCTTTCGTGAATTGCATTCTGACTAATATTCAGCAACAAATGGGAATGTATTGAACTTGAAAGAAATGATATTTGTGTAAATATCCTTAACTTCAAACCATAGTCCTACAGAAGAGCAGAAAGACTTGAAATATATAGCATGATTAAGGTAAACAAAAACCATCAAGGTGTTCTTGGCGCAAGGTGAAAGGAGTTGAATAAAAACCAACTCTTAAGACACTAAAGTAACTGATGATCTTTATTTAATTTAAAAACAAAAATATTTTTATAAAACAAAATGTTTTCAATATAATACATTATATATATTAGAGGCGAATTATACATTATGTGTAGCTCTATCGTGGGAGCTTGGCGACTCTATAGCTAAGCTCCACTGACCGTTATCCAGTGTACTGTAGCATTTATTTGGATTTTAATCTGTCTACACCTTATAACAAACACAAAATTGTTTCATAAGTATAACAGTTAATATTTTTTATTAAGCAATGATTTCACAATGATCCCGTAGAATACAATGATCCCGTAAGATATCTGAATTTGTCAACTAGACCAACTATAACATTAATCTAACTTTACCTAGTCTATCTGTGTATTTATCTATATATGATGTTGTGCTTATCTTTGGAAATAGATACACTATCTCAACTCGCCTACGTAAATACTCATTTATTGACCTTAATATCGCCTTTGTATCTCATCGATGTGGACTTTTTATAACTCAACTACTGGTTTCCAATGGCGAAAATCAAACGTTCTTTAATAGTGATAGTGTGTTTGTCCGTGTATTTATTTGTATATTATTTGTATTATATGTATTTATTTGTATTTTTTCAAATGTAAGCCTATTTTTCTTTTTGCAAAGGGACGATAAAAGACAATAAGCTACCCCACAGGTGACCTCAATGAATTTTTCAATACTGACCCGTATACCCTGTATACTACATAGTGCATACCCTTTTGTTTTAGATTTTAAAACTATTTTGCTGACCTTTGATAGTCTATATCTTATTATTTTTTTTTAATAGTTGAATGGTTTGAATATATGCATTTCCTTTTGTCTAATTCAAAGATATGCTATAATCTTTTGTATTTTTAGGCATTATTGAACAACACCTGTATTTCTTTATGTAATAATTCTACCGAGAACATTCATATATGCCTGTATTTTTATCTATCTGTTATAATGTGTAGGCGCATTTCAATTTTTTGGAAAATCTAATGTTTGTTGATAGTTCATTAATTGGATGAAATATGTTGACTTTATTATCTGGGCACACAATGAACTCAACTGTGGGCAAATTACACAAAGGACTTTTTTGCATTTATAGGTAAAATAACTGCCAAAAATAAGCGTATATATAAATATATATTCTTGTCGGGATTTATGTCAAAACAAATTAATTATAGAACTCAATATGATTAGTAGAATAAAGCAAAAAATTAATATTTACACCAACTGTTTGTACAAGAGGTATTAGAGCTTCAACACACCAATTGCTAACTTTTTTACCTAACATTCAATGTAATAACAACAAAATATCTGAAAAGACAATACTTCTTTAAAATTTATTTTCTTAGTCAATCAATTCAGATTTTCAACTGCATTTATACTGGAATCTCTATTTATTATCCTTAAATCAATATAGATTTTGTGACGCTATTGTTTGTCCATCAAAGTTTTGCAACTTTCAACTTTTGTCCAACTAACAAATCCATCAGCGTACAACTGACAATAGTAAAAAGTAAATAATACTCGTAACAACAGTAGACGTCTTCCAATCGTATGCCATATAGAAAATATTTTGTTCCCGTGTGAGTACTCAACTTCAAACAGAAGCCAACAGAAGCCACGGGACCTGTTACTTTGCCATATTCAATTGAATTGAAAATGAAAGTTCTGCATCGAAACAGAAAATACACAAAATCCAATGTTGGTCATTCGCTTTGTTTGTGAAAGACTCTGACTAAAATGTTTGTAATTGTAAGATTTATAAGGTGACACACATGTTTAAGTTTTAATTGATGCAGAGATAAGTGCTTTGCTGTGATGTGCATTGGACGACATTTTACGGTGCCTTAATTTGGTGATTTGACGGCGTCTTTTTACAACTGCAACTTTCATTCTCAATGGAATTTTTCGCCTTCAATTTCATAAAACTTTCGATTTTATTTTAAGACATTCGGTGTAATTTTATTGGAATAAATTAAGTCGGCATTTTATGTACCATATAAAGTGCTAATTAAAATTCAATTGGCTTAAAACATGACGACTTGTATACACATATTTATTTATAACAATTAAAAATAATTAATTAATTAGTGTTACATTAATAAGCAAATACATAAATTTTTTTAAGTGGTCATGCAAGTATGGTGAAGATGAAATGAAGCATTTACGTTAACGAGCGAACACATATAATTATTGTTTTTTATATTATTTAATTGCTCTTTATTAATTTAATATTATATATTACTTTAACTCAACTTAAAAATCATAAAAACAAAAAATTAAAATACTCGCAGAA